ACAATTAAGAAGGAAACTCTTCCACAACCTATTAACAATACATGAGTCTTTCTGAGTTTCGTTTTCCTGAGTTGTTTGCTGAGAAATGGGTGGATCTACAGTTTAGCATGAATGCTATTGATTTGGTTTCACTTTCCAAGACAAAATATTTAGGAGTGTACATCAGAGAGAACGATTAGAAGATCATCTTGGAGTCAAGGTAAGGACTTCTCTCCATTTTCTTTCTTTAGTTTCAGATACAATACTGATTTTTCTTGTTATTTTAACATGTGTGACAGTCTCTAAGAGAGACTTAGAACTTCACAGAACAAAAGTACTCTCTATGGAAGAATAATTCCCCCCCCCCATTATCTCACTGTTTTAAAGGCAACAAGGCCAACATCAGTGATTGGATTACACTATAATAATGGGGCTGGGGAATGGAAGCCAAAGAAAAGTGTAGTAAAGTGTCCCTTAAAACAAAAACAGAGTCCTCCTGGAGCACCATAAAGACTAACAGATTATTACTGCATAAACTTCCATGGACTATTTGTCAAATTTCTGTCAGCCCTGGGAGACAAGTACAGAGGTGATGATTAAGACTCATTACATTAGATGTCAATTTGCAGCTGTAGGCATGGATTTGGGGGTGTGGTTGCCAACCTCTAGGTGGTGTCTGAAGATCTCCTGGAATTACAGCTAATCTGCAGGTGACAGAGATCAGTTCCCTGGAGAAAGGGGCTGCTTTGGAGGGTGGATTCTATGTATACCCTGCTGAGATCTGTTCCCTCCCCCAATCCCCCCCCCCATCCAGTCTCCACCCCAAACCTCCAGGAATTTCTCAACCTGAAGTTGGCAACCCTAGAGGACATAAAGAGGTTCTCCCCCCCCCCCAATGCTCCTTATACTATGCAACTAGATTTAAGAAGAGGAGGAGATTGGATTTATACCCTGCCCTTCACTCAGAGTCTCAGAGCAGTTTACAAACTCCTTTCCCTTCCCCACAACAGACACCCTGTGAGGTAGGTGGGGCAGAGAGAGCTCTGACAGAAACTGCTCTTTTTTCAAGAACACTTCTGAGAAGAACTATGGCTTGTCCCAGGTCATCCAGCAGCTGCGAGTGGAGGAGTGGGGAATCAAACCCAGTTCTCCCAGATTAGAGTCCGTGCATTTAACCACCACACCAACCTGGCTGTGTGAAATGCTAACATCCACTTGCAAACAGTCGCTGAAATGGATTGAAAATGGATTATTTAACATGTGTGAAAGCGCCCAACTGAATGAAAGGCGGGGTATAAAGCCAGTTCTTCTTCTCTTTATGTGTGTGCAGATGCACACAGTAACTGAAGATGCACCTGAAGAAATGGGCTCTGATCCATTAACATTTATGCCACAATAGTATTGGTCTTTTAAGGTGTTTTAGGATGCTTTTTGTATTTTTGCTGTAAGAGACAAATATGGATTTTGCTTTAAAATGATTCCAACTGAAGACTAAATGAATAAAATCCAGCTTGCAGGTAATGAGGTTTAATTCAGCAAATTTACATTTTAATTTCAATTTAAAGTTTCTTCACTGAAGAATGGTACCTTACAGAATAATTCTACGCTGGTCTACTCAGAAGTGAGACTCAGGTTATTCAGTGGACTCTTACTTCCTGGAAAGGGTTCTTAAGATTGCCATCTTAAACTAGTTTTAACATACTTGTGAGGAGGGTTCCCCTTCTAGCGAGGCTGGGTTTTACTCTTTAGGCAGACAGAAACATGGGCAGATTGTTGAAAAATATGAGGACTATTGCTGGGAAATCAGTACTTCCTGCTCATGTTTCTGACTGCTTTTTTTTTAAAAAAAAACACAGAAACCAAAATGCTGCTGCTTATGACTCAACATCTGTTGTGAAACTCCAATGTCAATTGTTCCTTCTGTCTGGCAGATTTAGTCACCTCCTCTAGCTCACTGGAACCGCTCAGGTGCAGTGTTCCCTCTAAGCTGAGTTAGCGTGAGCTAGCTCACAGTTTTTTAGCCTCTGGCTCACAGATTTTTGTCTTCGCTCAGGAAGGAGGGCTCCAGAGCAAACTGATTTATGCAGCAGCCAAATCGCTCGCTCACAACTTTAATGCCAGTAGCTCACAAAGTAGAATTTTTGCTCACAAGACTCCACAGCTTAGAGGTAACATTGCTCAGGTGTAGCTAATTTTAGCCATAAGGTATAGATGGAACACTATGTCTGGGGCAGTGATTCTCTGTATTCTTGGTGCTTGGGGGACAAAAGTGGGAGGGCTTCTGGAGTTCTGGTCCTGTTGGTGGGCTTCCTGATGGCTCCTGGTTTTTGGCTACTGTGTGACACAGTGGATGGGCCATTGGCCTGATACAGAATGGCTTCTTTTATGTTCTCTTATGAACCAGTTTTACTCAGCATGGGGATAAATGTAACCATGTATTACTTTTGTTTCTAAATCAGATCATCCAGATTGTATACAGCTGCTTAAAAGAGTGATAAACTACCAAAGGAATAGGACAGTAATTCCGTAACGCAGTATTTTCATTGGGACCAAGATAAATATCACAAAAATAGTGAGCACACTTTTGGTTGCTTAGAACTCTTCATCAGGTTAGATGTTTGGTACAAAAAACAAAAGGTGGGGAAGCAGGGAAAAAGGATATTTCAGGCCACCACCCACCCAGGAGACAAAGGGGTCGCGGGCCGTGTGGTAGGCAATGTCGGCAGCCTGCAGGGCCGGTTCCGAGAGGCCCTTGAGCAAAAGGACCCCGGGGGCAGGGGCGGGATCCGCATACATGGACGGAAGAGGCAGGCAGCTGAGGGTGTCGGCATGCCCCATAGCCTTGCCTGGGCAATGCACCAGGGGGTAATTGTAACCCGCCAGGAAGAGGGACCAGCGGAGGACCCTGGGTGAGAGCACATGGGGGGGTCTGCTTGTCCGCCACAAAGAGCCTGAGGAACAGCTTATGGTCCATAACAATTGTGAAGGGCCGCCCATACACAAAGTTGAGGATTTTTTTTACCCCAGCCACAATTGCCAAGCCCTCCCTGTCGATCTGGGCAGCCGACAAGGTCCAGGAGTAGTAGGCCACCGGGACCTCTCAGCCGTCAGGGAGAACATGGCCCAAGACCGCGCCCACGGCATAAGGGGAGGCATCACACATGAGAACCACCGGCAGGGACTCGTCAAAATGAGCCAGCACCTCGTTCGAGATCAGGAGCGCCATGACACTCCTGAATGCTGCCGACTCCCGGGGGGCCCAGGCCCTGACTTGTCCAGCAGTCTGTGCAGGGGCTCGACATGTCGTGTGGTGCGTTGAGTTGAGTCAGTCCACTCTAGCTGAAGTCCAGTTATGCCCTGCTAAGAGCTAACTGTAGCAAACCATGCTGACACAGTCTTGTGGTTAACTATGTACACTTTTATTTTACAATATTTACAGCTCACCATCAAAGTGCTTCGCAAGACACACATACAAGAAGGACTTACATTCACAGACTACATTCACATATATACAGTAATCAGCCTATCAGCTTCCTAGTTTAGATGGACATGATCACTTGTTCTGAAGCCTTATAAGTCAACATTCCCCCTAAGATTCAGAATTTGTGATCAGACCTAAACTCCCCCTCAGGTTTAAGAATTTGTTTGCCTCTAAACCTTTGGTAAATATGTCTGCTATGTTTTCCTCAGAAGTACAATGCATTAGTGTAACCAGCTTTCTCTGCACTGTCTCCCATACATTTTGGTATCTAATATTGATATGTTTACTCCTTTTTTTTTTACTCCTTGAGAGTCAGCCAACTGTTGTGCTGCTGTGTTATCACACATTAAAGACATAGACATAACACATGACATTTCTAAATCTTCTAACAACTGTTTTAACCATTCAAGTTGTACAACACATTCTTTTAAAGCTGCAAACTCTGCCTCACAAGGGCTGGTTGAGACAAATCGTTGTTTAACTGATTTCCACATCACAAGCGATCCATAAACATATATTACATACCCTGTTGTGGATTTTCCACTTTCTTTGTCACCCCAGTTTGCATCACTGTAGGCAATCACTTGTTGTGAGTTATCTGTTTTTAACACCAGTTTACTCTTAATGGTACCTTTCAAGTATCTCAAGATCCGTTTTGCTGCATTCCAATCTCTAACATAAGGACATGCATTTCTCTGGCATAGCATATGAACAGCATAAAATATGTCTGGACGATACCATATTGCCAGATATAATAATGAACCCACTAAGGACCGATACAAAGCCTTATTTTCAAAACATTTTCCTTCAGGCTCTTTTATATATCCTGTGGTTATTGGAGTTTCAAGAGTGGCTCTTGAGGTCAGATTTGTATCCATTTATCCTTTGGCGCAGGGTTTGACCTGTTTGTCCTATGTAGAGAACTGGCATTGTTGGCACTTAATGGCATATACAATGTTAGAAGATGAGCGGGTGAATAAGCCTGATGTGGTGTAATTGATGTTGTTAGGTCCAGTGATTGTGTTGTCTGAGTGTATGTGGCAGCAAAGTTGGCATCTGGGTTTGTTGAAAGCTCTGGTACCAGTACCATGTTCAAATAAGATGCTGTATTATTGTGGATGAGGAGTTGTTGAGATTGGGGGGGCTGTTTGTGCACTAGAAATGGTCCCCTTCCCGGTACTTCTGAAAGGGTAGTGTCTTTATCCAGTAGAGGCTGTAAGTTACTGATGATGTGTTAAGATGTTTTGAGTCGAGAGCTGTATGTGACCATTAGTGGTCTTCTACTATTGTCTCTTTTTGGCCTGACATCTCATAGTCCAAACCTTATCCTGGGGTGCAGAGGGCAAGCTGTCTGACCAGTTCCTTAGTCCAATCACCTTTGAAATAAAGGCCTTTTGGTTGAAACCCAAATAGATGCAAGTGCTGCCAGACCCAGAGTTTGGACCGGGTGCTGCTATATCTCTTCTTGCAGGGGACAGTCTCCAGAGCATTGTGATGTGTCATTTGGTGTGGTCCGAAGATTGTTTTCGGGTGCAGCCTGGCCCAAGTGTCTGCCTGTGTGATTGTCTTAGGGGCACCGCACTTTGGAGCTGCTGGCACAAGAATCATGCTTTGGACCAGGAAACAGCATATGTCCACTCCAAAGGGAGAGTCCACTGAACATGGGGGTGTATATAGTGTGGCGGTCCAAACCTCATTTTGGGTGCAGAGGGCACTTCCTTATTAAAATCTTCTTTGAA